GGTATCGTCAGAAAGCTCTGGAGATCAATAGTATTATACTAACCTTCACTGGAGTATTTTCGTAGTTGTAATATGCGATGTTTTTGATGGAAATTGGCTCTTAATGACACCTTTTTTAATCGTTATCTGCTACAAGAACGCAATCACTCAAATTCAAGCACGTGACCTAAAGCAGCCAAAAAAAATCAATGGACACCGTCCTCGTGTATGATAAATTTAAGTTAGGACGAATCGTTTATTCGTGTTATTTTGAACGTTTTAAGCAAGACAACGCGACCTATATCAAAACAAGGATGAATTGTGCTAGGGGACGACTTGTGAGAAAGATTACACATTACTATAATTACCTCATGTCTATAATTTTGGTTTGGTTTGTTGTTTAACGCCGCACTCCGCAATATTCCAGCTATATGAAGGCGGTCTGTGAAATAATCGAGTCTGGACCAGAAAATCCAGTGATTGAATACATGAGCATCGATCCACAAAATTGGGATCGATGACATGTATCAAGTCAGCGAGTCTGACCACCCAATCCCGTTAGTCGCCTTTTACGACAAGCATAGTCGCCTTTTACAAGTATGGGTTGTTGAAGACCTATTCTTCCCCGGATCTTCACGGGTCAGCGTGCGTGCGTGCATCAGTACTCCGGACGTATGCCGGTTTGATAGTGCAAGCCAAATGAGATACTATGCCGCAGTTTAACATGAAAACCCCACTCAGTTTACTGAGATACTTGCCGTAAAAGGCGACTAACGGGATCGGGTGGTCAGGCTCGCTGACTTGATTGATACATGTCATCGATCCCATTATTCACAGACCGCCTTCATATAGCTGGAATATTGCTGAGTGCGGCGTTAAACAACAAACAAACAAACAAACAGTATACTGAGTCCGATCTGACCAGTCCTTCTTTTATCTTTTTGAAGCCGAGAGCTGGCCAGGGTAACAACAAGTGCTATCTTGTACCTTTTGGTATGGCGCGGCCAGTGTATCGAAACGCCGACCTTCCCCACTCCCGGAAGGCGTTCTGGCCACAAGACGTCGAAGGCGATACGACAAGCATGAGATGACGGAAATCTGTTCTGAATATTTGAATGTAATTTACAATGTGATAGTAATGTGGACAAGTAAAACTAGCGAGTCCAGGGCCTACTTGCACAAAACGTCATTTTGTTACTGATGCGTCACATTTGGAAATGTCCTCCACATGTCTTCAATAAAACTTTTACGAGGCTTTTGAGGGCTTAAATGTTGTAACCTTGATCAAACAACTCTTGAGAAAGAAATCTCCGTAGAAAGCGCATGCTCGATTTACCTTTTGTTATGATAGGCCAAAGCTGCAGGGATATTGCTCAACATAAACGGAAAGTTGACGATTGGAGGTGAGGTGAGTTGAAATTGGGTTTAACGTCGCGTCCAAGATTATTGCACTTATATAGCGACGTGCATGCACGTGTATGTGTTTGTGTGTGTGTGGCTGCTTGTACTAGTCCGGACTGATGCCGATTTATAGTGCCAGCTCACTGATAAACCATGCCGCAGTTTACCATGAATACCCCAGTTTTATTTTTACACAAAAAACAGCCCCAAATTACTTTTTATAAACTGTTGCAGGAAGGAGTGATGGTTGAATAGACATAATCATATTTAACAACAGTTCTTTCAATGTTCAATGACATAAAAAAAACCAACTCGGTGTACCTTCTATTTGGCCCTCAGTTTATATATTCGTCACCTAGTGGACAGAGCGTCTACAGGAAAAGCGGTAGGTCACGTCATACCAAAATACATTAAAAGATAGTACTTGACCCTACCCTGCCTGGCGCTCTGCATTAAGGGGCTAAAACAAGGACTGGTCGGCTCGGAGTCAGTATACTGTGTCTGAATGGGGTATCCACGTTACAGTGCAGCATGGACCGTTACCTCAGTGTGTACCTACAATCTCGACATCCCCCCCCCCAAACTGATTTGTAACCTCTTTGCGTGTTATTTATACTAACATATTTACCAATGAATGTGTTGCATTTGTGATAAGTCATTTGTATCATCTTCTCATATTAAACTTCTATAAAAGACGATGAAAGTAGCGTAACAGTAAATCTAAGTGAATGTTTGCTTAAAAGGATCCGGGATGTCGTAGGAAAAGCCGCAATAATCGAAATGTCATATGAATTCTTCGATACACATTAAACTGATTATATAGTCAAAACGCCGTGATACACATTCACAATTTCCAAGAACGTTTTGGTATTTTGGTAATAAAAATTTCATTTTCTGTTTCTCTTGATTTATAATTTTTACACCAGAGTAGAAGAGTTTTATATATAATGCAATGATGCATATAAACTGCCGGGAAAAAAGTATTCCCTCATGGTGGATGGTGGCTAAAAATGACAGACAGACAAATTTATTCGGTACTTCAGGCCACCGGCCCATAATACAATGGAAATATCCCGTATATATATTTGCATGCTGAGTAGATTTAATAATGATTTACTGTTCCACACTGATTTTCCTTTCGATGTTCAAAGAGTTTCTTCTTGCTCTAGAATACTCGTCACAAATCATAAGAACATGGATTCATCTTCAACATGGTTATGCCCCTTTGAAAAACAGAACGTGCAGACACGTTCATTATATGGGATGTTGTTGTGACGCCCCAGTTCAACAGCAAGTCTGAAATTATTACACCGGAACATGGCTATAAGTCTACGTTGGTAAGAAGACATATCACAAGTAATATATGATTCCGCATTTAGTAATGACTTGATGTGTGAGTAATAATTGCATTTCGTTGATGATGTCAGGGAAAAGTGCCAAATTGAGTGAGGCAGTCGTAAAATCTTCGTTTAAAATCTGTCATGAAATGTTGAATATTACCAATCTCCTGGCTTAGCCAAACAAAACCAAATCCAAACTGGAATAAAATCATTCTAATATGTGATGCCCAGAGATTTTAGTATATAATAAGCTTGGATGGGTAGCCTGTGTTGTTCCATCTGAATTAGTCTGCACCAGTACTTGACTGCTCTTGACATGTAGTTATATATCCTACCACAGTCTCCTAGAACCATGTTGTTGTTGGTGAACTTATTTACTTTCAAAAAGGATTTGCAGAATCTGTTATGGACACTTTCAATAATATCCCAAGATATCTGATCCATAACACAGGATTGGTGAAATCATAGCATCAAAAATATTAAAAAGATCATGGTGATTAATGTATCCAAATTGTTTTTGATAATTATATATTGATAGAAAATTGCTAAAAATGAAACAAACAAGAAACGGTTATTCGATGGTGATATATTTGATACGATTTTCACCGTTGTGTTTGGACCTTAAATTTGCAATGTTACAGCGACTGTAGCTGTTACCCTAGTAACGTCATGATGATGTTTGTATTTTTTGGTCAATCCAATTTTACAAGTGTATATTCTTTTGCCCGGCAGTTTAAAATGAATATCCTTTAGTTTTGTGATCTGCCCTGATGTTTGTATCAAGAATGGGGCGGAGTTATGCAGATTCTTAAAAAACGAGCTCCCGTGTAGTACTAGTATTATGAATAGTCCTGGTATCTGACAAGCCAAGCGAAGTTTCTCAAATTTGAAAAATTCCTACATCGCGTTGGACGTCTTCGGTCCTCGATAAGTGTGAAATAAAATCAAGTGTGTCTTTATGTAAAGTAGATAATCTTACCGAAGCGTAAACCTGGACTTAATCCCATTTTAATAACTAGACAGGGGCGGTCGGGTAGCCTAGCGGTTAAAGCGTTAGCTCGTCACGCCGAAGACCCGGGTTCGATTCCCGACATGGGTACAAGGTGTGAAGCCCATTTCTGGTGTCCCCCGCCGTGATATTGCTGCAATATTGCTAAAATCGGCTTAAAATCACACTCACTCACTCACTCACTAATGACTAAACACATAGTCCCACGGCACTGTAGCTCACCTTGGTATGTAGTCAACAACGTACATGTACAATGACCGCCACACTAAAATCAGGTTCGGTCTTCATTACAAATTCTGGTGTCGACATTCGTACGAACAAGCCTGTTCTAAGGAGATGGTGTTCACAGACAACACGCCGCCGAGGACAAAGAGGCCATGCATAAAGCTCACTTGACTTTAAGTCAGGTGAGCTAATATATCGAAGTGTACATAAACTCTTAGCAACATTCCACATTTAACTTGTTAAGAGTAAGATAAGTTCAGAGAACTGTATTTGTTCCTGTTCGTCCTTTTTTTATCTGGAAGATCCAGTTGGCTCACCTCAGTTTCATAGGTCATCGTGGCCAGCACTGACAGGATCATGACTCACTAGTTTCACTAGTCCACGTTACTATCATATTGTACACCACAGAACAGATCCTCGTTACCCCCTGATTGTCGTACAGCCTCCGTGGTCTAGTGGATAGAACGTCTTCCAAGAGTGCGGAAAGTGTTGGTTCGATCCCCTGGCTGAGTAATACCAAACTATGGGTTTAAATTGTATATATGTATCAATGATTATCATAATAAATATACATCCAGGTGTCTATTAGAACATACAGAAGTCTTCTGAAACATACAGCGGTCTATGGAAACAGACGGGTTTTGTTTGTTTGTTTGTTTGTTTGTTCTTTAATGCCGCACTCAGCAATATTCCAGCTATCTGACGGCGGTCTGTAAATAATCGAGTCTCGACCAGACAATCCAGTGATTAATATCATGAGGATCGATCCACGCAATTGGGATCGATGACAACCAAGTCAGCGAGCCTGACCACCCGATCCCGTTAGTCGCCTTTTACGGCATGGGTTGCTGAAGACCTATTCCAACCCGGAATCTTCACGGGTCGAAACAGACAGGTGTCTATTGGAACATACATGTGTCTACTGGAACACACACATGTCTATTGGAACACACAGGTGTCTATTGGAACATACAAGTATCTATTGGAACATACAGGTGAATATTGAACACACATGTGTCTATTTATTGGAACATACATGTGTCTACTGAAAAATACAGGTTTCTTTTGCAACCTCCGTCCCGTAGGCCTGTGGGTTTGACGGGCTAGCAGGTTGACTGCGAGTCATCGTAAACTGACAGAGTGAAACACTGCTTATATACAAGCCGCCGTCATGTAGCTGGGATATTATTGAGTCAAGCAAACACACTACATGATATATTAACACTGCATTAAGATTCATAGCAGCATTTAACCAACAGGACCTAGTCTGTCAATAAATTTGGCTGCATCTATATCAGATGCCTTCACAACATATCTGAAGATGTTTCCGGGATTTGCGTTATCGTAAAAGTCATGGCAGTATTTCGTATCCACGAGCTCCCACACGCCCTGCTCTTCCATCAGCTCCATCAGGGGAGCCAGCCTGTCAACGTAGTCCTTCACCTCAGTGAAGCGGGAGTCCGGGATGCCGAAGCATATCAACCCATCTGAAATGCGCCATTCATTTATGGTCCTATTAAACATTGCGATTGAGTGAGTGAGTGATTGAGTATGGTTTTACGCCGTTTTAAGCAATATTCCAGCAATATCACGGCAGGGGACACCAGAAATAGGCTTCACACATTGTACCCATGTCGGGAATCGAACCCGGGTCTTCGGCGTGTCGAGCGAACGCTTTAACCACTAAGCTACTCGACCGCCCCGTTTTTAACATTGTGGAGACATCCAGCACATTTTTGTTCAATGAACAATTATTTTGTGCAATTTGACCTGGAGCAAAATTATGTTTTCTAGTATTTCTTGAAACAAGTGGGCGGTCGGGTAGCCTAGTGGTTAAAGCTTTTGCTCGTCACGCCGAAGACCCGGGTTCGATTCCCGACATGGGCACAATGTGTGAAGCCGTGATATTGCTGGAATATTGCTAAAATCGGCGTAAAACCATACTCAGTCAGTCTTGAAACAAGTTATTTTTTTCAGAACATTTCCAACTCGTGCTTCCGATTCCTGACTTTGGACAGTATTCATGTTCATTCGAAATTGTTGGAGTACTTAGGGTGAAAGGTTTGGGAACTAGAGGATATACAATATGCTTTCTTTGTTTATTGTTTAACGCCGCGCTCAGCAATATTCCAGCTATATGACGACGGTTTTAAATAATCGAGTCTGGACCAGACAATCCAATGATTGACATCATGATCATCGATTAACGCAATTGGGATCAATGACATGCATCAATCAAGTCAGCGAGCCTGACCACCCGATCCCGTTAGTTGCCTCTTACGACAAGCATCGTCGCCTTATACGGCAAGCATGGGTTGCTGAAGACCTATTCTACCCCGGATCTTCACGGGTCCCACAATATGCTTAAGGGTACACTCCGAAGGAGCTTGTGACTTCCGGTGAAAACTCAGTATCGGACAAAGAGAAATGGATTCGTAGCTTTGAATATCCATTTGGTATGTCCGTTATAAAAGCAGAGCAGTATATACCGGAAATGTACGAATTTAAATCTTTCATTTTTGCCCATGGGCATAAACATACAAAAAATAAAAAAAACTTTTTTAATTTAGTCTCTAGGCACAGGAAAAAACCACACCCCTCCATATACAATGTACATTATTTTCTATACGAATATATTATGCTATACACGCTGTCATCGAGTTCCTGTGTCTCAAGGGTCTGGGAGGGAAACGAGTGTTTTGGCTGCTTGTACTTGTCTTGACGTATGCCAGTTTTATAGTGCTGGCCTGCAGTGTACCCTTCTCAGACATAAACCCTTGATAGCCGACCCCTGACGCGGCCTGGGAACCGAACTCCTAACCTCAGACGGCACATCCACGAGACCATGTCTTTAAAGTGATCATTTGTTCCCTTTAACTTTAAATGTCAAATTTTGTTATTATCCCAGGGCTTAAATTTGAATATAGATTCCCACTATATAAATGAGAGTGATTTAACGCCGCTTTGATGAGTATAACATTTGAATGATAAAGGTCGTAGAAGCCTACTTTTGACAAACTTAGGCTAGAGACATATTCAGGGCATAGCTGAATTCGAGGTCAAAGGTTTCTGGCAGGACTAAGAGGTGAATGACAGCGCCTTAGATGACTGAGGTACTCGTGCCCCCATACGCGATAAGAATGATTAAATCCCGTGAGTGAAAAGAGCGACATTAACATTTCCATAATCATAAGAAATCTCTACTAAAAGCAAAATCCGTTGAGTGAGTGAGTGAGTTTGGTTTTACGCCGCTTTTAGCAATATTCCAGCAATATCACGACGGGGGACACCAGAAATGGGCTTCACACATTGTACCCATGTCGGGAATCGAACCCGGGTCTTCGGCGTGACGAGCTAACGCTTTAACCACTAGGCTGCCCGACCGGCCCCAAAATCCGTTGAACGATTCCACTTATTCAATAAGCATGTGTCATCACTATCAATTGGAGATGATAACAGGTGTTCGCGAAAAGGTGAGCGTATCCTGCCACACTGGTGAAACCCGTCACAAACACATGCAAAGGCAAGTCATGGTTTTACATACACACATTGCCCGCAGTACGACATCGCTGCTCACTTGGTTTAAATGAGTGAGTTTTACGCCGCTTTTAGCAATATTCAAGTAACATCACGGCGTCGGGCACCAGAAATGGACTTCACACATTGTACCCATGTGGCTTTTCGATCCCGACGTGACGAGCGAACGCTTTAACCACTCGGCTACCCCACCTCCCCTCACCTGGTTTGACTAAGCGCGTCATCTCGGGAAGAGCTGCACAGGGGATGAATCCTGTATTGAAGGCAGCGGCCACCACCAGACAGTCGTAGGCATCTGAAAACACGAGACGTTGTTGTCATGAACACAAGACCATCCACATTATTTTGTGCTCTTGTCATTTACATGCTCAGTATCCGAGAGGGCGGGCGAAGAATATTAAAAAGTTTAATTTAAAAAAAATAGAAAACTGGTGTAGATTACGATATGTGAAAGAAAGGTTCACCTTTTGACTATCGTCCTCGAGAGTTCAATACTGGTTATGAATTTTGAACATTGGCCAAAAGTGCATGTAACCCATAAGGTTGCGGGATCGGTAGAGCTTGAAAGTGCTCGTGAGTTTCACCGAAGTGGTAAACGTCTGAGACCTGCATCACTTCGGGCTTTCTTCCCACATTAAGCTGACACACCGCGATATAACTGGAATACTGTCTGTTAAGAGCGGCGTTAAACCCAACTCACTCACTCACTCACTGCAATGAAATCTGAGTTTTCGCATCCTATTATGAAGTGCCACACCGCCCGTGTATCAAGAAGACCAGTTTTGATTTCGAAATGTAAGAATACCTCCATAAAATACTTATTTTTGTACCAAATTGACGAGGCATGTAATAAGTCTTTGAAATTCATTTAGAAGTGTTACCCATAAGGGACTAAGTATATACTCCGAAACGTTGCGTTCCTCATAATACAGGAGTTGACGTCCATAATTTCTCTTCCTTCAGATTCAGAGAGTTTAAATTCTGTTACATGGAATTATATATATTATAAGTCACACAAAAGTTTTTTGCAGTTTCCATTGTCACAGTAATGCCATCAAATAATAGCCACAGTAATATTACACTGAAAACAATTATATTTCTATGTTTAAAAATAATATATTTTTTATAAATGTTATTTATTTTATTGACATCACCTCGTTAGGATGTCTCATAACATAAAGTGTTTTGGCTGGTGAACTATAAAAAAATGGTAATATTTACACTAATGCGTAACAAAAAAAACTCTGTTTGTCTCCACCATCTTAATTCTAGTTTTAAACAATTATTCAGTCATATCATGACATCCATAAATTCTCTTCCTTTGGCATGTAACGATCACCGATACCCCCTGCTGCGAAAGACCCGTGAAGATCCGGAGAAGAATAGGTCTTCAGCAACTCATGCTTGCCGTAAAGGTGACTATGCTTGTCGTAAAAGGCGACCAACGGGATCGGGTGGTCAGGCTCGCTGACTTGGTTGATGCATGTCATCAATCCCAATTGCGTAGATCGATGCTCATGATATTAATCACTGGATTGTCTGGTCCAGACTCGATTATTTACAGACCGCCGTCATATAGCTGGAATATTGCTCGATGCGGCGTTAAACAACAAACAAACTAACCAACCAACGAACTCTGCTGCGATATCGTGAGCTCATATATACACACAAATAGGTATTAAATAGGGGGGACATGCTAAAGTAAACACTGTTTTCTGCTGATATATTATGGGGTCTCAATCCGTTCTTTTTTAACTGACCAAATTTACGAATTTTGATTTGGCGGCTTCTATGATTTTTTTTGGTGATCGAACGTTCCCTATCAAGTGTCGAGACATACTGTACTGTAATGTGTTTTGCATCGCCCAAATATTGATACACGCTATAAGTGGTTCTTTTATAAAAGGGCCTTAATGTATTTTTAGATTCGATTTGAAACAAGAGGAATAGTTAATGCCCACCTGTCGCAAAACAGTCCAACCTTTTGCCATCCATGAACTCCGTGTAGTAATTGGTGTAGACACCTTTCTTGGAGGCTTCGACCTTCATGCCATGCGAGGGGTCAAGGCCGTCGATTAGCCGAAACCCCTTTCCCCATAACTGCAACAGATCATAACATACCATTGCTTGTTTTACTAAGAGTTATCCTACCGTGAAGGTCCAGGTTAGAATTGGTCTTCAGCGAACCATGCTTGTCGTTAGAGGCGGCCAACGGGATCGGGTGGTCAGGCTCGCTGACTTGGTTGATGCATGTCATCGTCTCCCAATTGCTTAGATCGTGAAGATCCGGGGTAGAATAGGTCTTCAGCAACCCATGCTTGCCATAAAAGGCGACTATGCTTGTCGTAAGAGGCGACTAACGGGATCGGGTGGTCAGGCTCGCTGACTTGGTTGATGCATGTCATCGTCTCCCAATTGCTTAGATCGTGAAGATCCGGGGTAGAATAGGTCTTCAGCAACCCATGCTTGCCATAAAAGGCGACTATGCTTGTCGTAAGAGGCGACTAACGGGATCGGGTGGTCAGGCTCGCTGACTTGGTTTATGCAGGTCATCGATCCTAATTACGTGGATCGATGCTCACAATGTCAATCACTGGATTGTCTGGTCCAGACTCTATTATTTACAGACCGCCGTCATTTAGCTGGAATATTGCTGAGTGCGGCGTAAAACAACAAACCAAACCAAACCAAACCAAACTAGATAGATAGATTCTCATGATGTCAGTCACTGGATTGCCTGGTCCAGACTCGATAATTTACAGGCCACCGTAATACAGGTTGAATATTTCCGAGTGCGGAGTTAAACAATAAATAAACAAAGTTATTGCGAACGAGTCAAGGTGTTCCCAGTTGTTTTGTTGAATGATGATCGAGACACGTTTATGATTTCTGAACAAAAATACGTTTTACGTATAATGCAATATATCTTCCATTAAACATAAGCGAAGATGGGAAAAATTACTTTTGGGTTTGAAAACAATCCAGGTATGACGAAATTGCAAAGTTTTGTAATGTCTCCACACCAACCTCCTCTGCCAACATGCCAGTCCCGGCACCCACGTCCAGCACCTGGACAGACGCTCGGTCCCCAGGGTAGAAGTCGGCCACAGCCTCGGCTACATACACGTGGTCCTTATAATGTCGAGCTTTCCAGGTCTGGAGCACAGAAACCGTGAGCTTTACGCAGCAGTCTTGTTATTATTATGATGGGACTTTTTTTAATTTGTATTCAACAGACTCAGTAAAGGAAAGTTGAAAAAGAAATAAACCTAAACCAAATGTTTTGTTCCAAATTACGTGTTCACCGCAGACATTGGCATGCATACATGAGTGAGTGAGTGAGTGAGTGAGTGAGTGAGTGAGTGGGGTGGGCTTAACACCCCTTTCAACAGTTGTCCGGTTATATGACGGGGTGTGAGCTCAATGTGATGCGAATTGCGGCCCCTTAGACGACTGCCCCCGTGTACATGATGTTAAACTGCAGGACAGTAGTAAAACGACGAGACAAAGCTTACCCAATGCTATACACATGGCAACATATTCAGATAACCTCTGAAGGCAAACAAATACCTGTGATTTTTAAAATGTATCATCTGCCTACCTGCTAAGAATGTTATTAATAAAATAACATATTTTCAAAAAAGAAATATAATAAAAATGTCTGGCCTAAGCTTAATGGCAATACCTACACTTTTCAAGAAAGCTACAGTCTCTTCTAGATCCTACGAGAGGTTATTCTGACGTGACTCATCACACTCCGGGTGGCCCAGTCGTCTAAGTCGCCCAGATTCCCAGAATGATTGTGGGTCTCGAGTCCCGGTTCGCCCCGATTATGTTTCTAAGTTTGTCAGCACCATGCCCGTGCTCGTGGGTTTCACCGAAGTGGTAAACGTCTGAGACCTGCATCACTTCGGGCTTTCCTCCCACATATAGCTGACACGCCGCGATATAAGTGGAATATTGTTAAAAGCGGCGTTAAACCCAACCCACTCACTTTATATGGTCCAATCAAAATTGCGTTGCGAACTAGATTTTGTCAATGCATGGGTACCTCCAACTTGGCGTCGACAGATAACTTGCAAATGATTTCATGTTTTTAATCAAGATGCTCAAGTGATTTGATGCACTTCGCGGGGTTAGACCCGTTTTATTATACTATTGATCTTGATTATCGATCAGATCGTCTTACTGGGCGCCGCCATTTCGTCTGAATCAAATGCAAGCGACATGAGCCATGGAATCAAAAAGAGGGACTTAGAACGGATATAAATAGTATTATAGCTAAGATGGATAGACTTATCATTAAACCGCCCGCATGTTATCAGAAATCAGTGGGCCACTGTAACTTGATAATGCCCTCATATTGCTTGACGACTGGCCATTATCACGCCAGTTGTTAGGTGACGTCATAGGATAGGGATAGGTGACGTCACCTGACCATGTTGAATAGTGACGTCATCTGGTTTGTTCTATGTCGTTTCCATATGCGTAAAATGGGGCAGTGGTATTCGTGTTGATTGCAGTAAATGTTTCAAAACCGATATTGTTGCTTATTTCTATCCATTTTAGCTATAATAATGGTAACACTATTTTTCAGGGCATTATCAGTTGCAGAAGCCCTCGGTCTTTTCATATGCCCTCCTTCGTCGGGCCGTTAATGGAAGACCTCGGGCTTCTGCAAATGATAATGCCATGAAAAATAGCGTTACCCTTATAATTGCCACTGGTGTCGCTGTGATCGAGCCTGGAAATTCCATCCTAGTTCGGCAAGGGTGGAAACTGTACATTTATAGTCACTTAACTCCATTGTCTCGGGATTATGGGGGTAAACAACAACAAACAAACTTATCACGGATGAAAATAAGTACCCGAAGCGGACATAAAATATTCAGAACGCAATAAATAATTTCCAAAACCCTTTTTATCGATGCATTATCCCACGTGGCCGATAACTTGAATGGTCGGTGATCTATCCGAGGGAGGAAAAGACGGATATTCCGTTGAATAGGAATTTAAATCACGCGTTACAAATTTTTTTTTCGCTCTGCAGCAGTAAAACGTACTATTTAACACCATCGGGACTGCCGCATAAGACTAAAGGTCCCAAGCAACCTATGCTTATCGTAAGAGGCGACCAAATAAATCGGGTGGTCAGGCTCAGTGACTTGGGTGATTGGTTGTCATCGTATGCCAATTGCGTGGATCGATACTCCAATCACTGGATTATCTCGTGCATACTCAACTATTAACAGATCGCTGTCGTACAGCTGGAATATTGCTGAATGCGACTGTAAACAAGAACGAAAGAAATAAGCAAATCTGAAAGTTTCTCTTCATTCCGCCGTCTCAGTGATAAACTCACCCAAAATACCCCTTGATTCTACCCTTACTGATACATTGGCACTGTACATGGATGACGAATCTGACCAAAGAATTGACTTTGGTTCCGATGAGGGGCCGTTGCTCCAAGATTACTAAAAACAAGTATCAGTAATATAACAGGCATATCTGCAGTAAGGTATCTTCAATGACAGTGTTAAAGACACAGTGAGTGAGTGAGTTTGGTTTAACGCTGCTTTTAACAATATTCCAGTTATATCGCGGCGTGTCAGCTTAATGTGGGAGGAAAGCCCGAAGTGATGCAAGTCTCAGACGTTTACCACTTCGGTGAAACCCACGAGCACGGGTATGGTGCTGACAAACCTACAAACATAATTGGGGCGAACCGGGATTCGAACCCACAATCATAGGTTTCTGGCGTGTCCAAGGGACGCAACTCTGCACAGCGAATCGCGGCGCCGTAGACGACTGGGCTAGAATACAATGGAGATTCCTAGTCTTAGCAGTCTTAGCAAATTTGATTTGCGTCCCTCAATAACAGTTTCTTGGTATTCTTCTAAAACATTAAAATTGTATAACGTATACAAGTTTACTGTTAATTACACCCCTAATTACACAGACACCATGTCAATGATTCACTCATGGTATTAATAACAATGTCCAATGTCTACACCTTAGCAGGTGGCATCTTATATTTCAAGATTCTTAACTTTTAAACGGCATACCACGCTATATGTGGCAAATTGTTGTTTGTTCAAATCGGTATACTTTAATGCGCAAGATCTTACACAGTAGTTTTCTGAAAGCGGTGTACCATTATTACCCCGGTCAGTGGATTATCAGCTCCCTGGGGAGTATACAACGCAAGCTGCCTTTGTGGCTCTAAAAAGTTGACAATCATATTGTCATTGAATCCTACCGGGTTCTGGTGTCATATTGCGGGACTTAAGCCAAGAGCGGCGTAAAACCGTGCTCACTCACTCCTACCGGGTACCCATTCGCTGATGAGTGAACAGGGGCATATTCGCTTACTTGCATGAGTTGCAGATACACCACAAGTAAAATGAAAACTGAAGCCCTAAAAACTCCCAAGTGTGATTCTTGCACCCAGACATCCATCCACGGAATCTCCGCGACGACGGACGTTGTTTAACTTCATCTACAGCAAACTACGGTTACAACGAACTCAAAGGGACTACTATTTTCAGTTCGTTATAACCGTAGTTCGTTATAAGCATATAGACAGCATAACTACAGCAAATAGTCGGGACTAAAAAGTAAGTTCGTTATATCCGCCAGTTCGTTATAAGCGTGTTCGTTATAACCGTAGTTTACTGTAGTTTGTGATCTGTAGCCTGTGTGCAGGACCAGGTGCCACCATGAGATGAAAAGAGTGACATAAAATACTTTCTATTTTCAACGTTAATCAACGCGACACAACACTTCATAATCATAAGAAACATCTATTGGAAGATTCGGTTGGTTGGTTGGTTGGTTGGTTGGTTGTTTAACGCCGCACTCAGCAATATTCCAGCTATATGACGGCGGTCTGTAAATAATCGAGTCTGGACCAGACAATCCAGTGATTGACATCATGAGCATCGATCCACGTAATTGGGATCGATGACCTGCATCAACCAAGTCAGCGAGCCTGACCACCCGATCCCGTCAGTCGCCTTTTACGGCAAGCATGGGTTGCTGAAGACCTATTCTACCCCGGAATCTTTACGGGTCTGGAAGATTCGGACCACATGTATGTCAATAGCACGTGTTTAAGTGGTGATGATAGCAGGTATTTGCGTAAACGTAAGCGTATCCTATCACACCGGTGGCATGGTGTGATACACAAAAAACACATGCATGGGCAAGTCAAGTGTTCATTTGAACAAACAAGGGAACGTTTAGCCTCAAAATGTTACACGTGAAATGTTAAAATCGGAACTGCTGGAATATTGCTCGACATAAGTGGAAAGTTGATTATTGGAAAGTTGGAAGTCTCGAGGATAGTTTTCGTCACTCTTTTTGAGACGGAAAACAAGAATTTTGTTTGCGGACGTAGTGATATATTGTATGGACAGGCCACCCTTGCACCCACGCTTTCACTGAAAACATACTCACTCACTCACTCTTTCAGGATAAGCCACAACATACCATCTTTTGTCTCGATATTTCGTTCAGAGAACAATTTCCATGTCATGTTTGCTCACTCACTCACTCACTCACTCACTCACTCACTTCATCATATGTTCCTGCGACCTTTGTGAAGACTTCAGCGACCTGATCAGGTGTCATTTCTTCTCTCTTCTCAAAGTCACAGAATGCAATGCGTCCTGGTTCAGCCATCCTGAAACTACAGCATCAGTCATCAGCTACATGCACGGATTCAAACAATACAGTTGAACGGTCCTATTGAGTTCCTTGTGAGTCAGCAATAACGTAAGCATGTATGTCTACCTGTTACAGAGAGGGCCTTACACCCCCACATCATGTACTGTTAGCAACATGACATAATCCTTGTTCAACACAGTACAGCTCATGTTACATGGATGTTCCACAAAGTACAGCTCATGTTACATGGATGTTCCACACAGTACAGCTCATGTTACATGGGTGTTCCACACAGTACAGCTCATGTTACATGGATGTTCCACACAGTGCAGCTCATGTTACATGGGTGTTCCACACAGTACAGCTCATGTTACATGGATGTTCCACACAGTACAGCTGATGTCACATGGATGTTCCACACAGTACAGCTGATGTTACATGGATGTTCCACACAGTACAGCTCATGTTACATGGGTGTTCCACACAGTACAGCTCATGTTACATGGATGTTCCACACAGTACAGCTCATGTTACATGGGTGTTCCACACAGTACAGCCCATGTTACATGGATGTTCCACACAGTACAGCTGATGTCACATGGATGTTCCACACAGTACAGCTGATGTTACATGGATGTTCCACACAGCACAGCTCATGTTACATGGATGTTCCACACAGTACAGCTCATGTTACATGGGTGTTCCACACAGTACAGCTCATGTTACATGGATGTTCCACACAGTACAGTTCATGTTACATGGATGTTCCACACAGTACAGCTCATGTTACATGGATGTTCCACACAGTACAGCTCATGTTACATGGGTGTTCCACACAGTACAGCCCATGTTACATGGATGTTCCACACAGTACAGCTGATGTCACATGGATGTTCCACACAGTACAGCTGATGTTACATGGATGTTCCACACAGCACAGCTCATGTTACATGGATGTTCCACACAGTACAGCTCATGTTACATGGGTGTTCCACACAGTACAGCTCATGTTACATGGATGTTCCACACAGTACAGTTCATGTTACATGGATGTTCCAAAAAATACAGCTCATGTTACATGGATGTTCCAAAAATTACAGCTCATGTAACATGGATGTTCCACAAAGTACAGCTCATGTTACATGGATGTTCAACACAGTACAGCTCATGTTACATGGATGTTCCACACAGTTCAGCTCATGTTACATGGATGTTCCACACAATACAGCTCATGTTACATGGATGTTCCACACAGTACAGCTCATGTTACATGGATGTTCCACACAGTACAGCTCATGTTACATGGATGTTCCACACAGTACAGATAATATACCATGGATGTTCCACACAATACAGCTGACATAACATAGATGTTCCAAACTGCAGCTCAAGGCAAATGTTAGAGTATATTCACAGTCTTTTGCTTTCCGTCAGAGGCGACGTATGTGGGCAGGCTTCATCGCATTATTTACTTGTTGTAGTGATGACGCTAACAGTGGCGTAGACAACACATAAACACCTGTCTCCGGCCTGACCCAAATAGACGACTTACATGTCGACAATGTGAGTCTCTTGTCACAAACAGATGGTATTTGCAATTAGTTCCAACACCCAACAGTCACTGAGTAAGTGAGTGAGTGAGTATGATTTTACGCCGCTTTTAGCAATATTCTAAGCAATATCACAGCGGGGGACACCAGAAATGGGCTTTACACATCGTACCCATGTCGGGAATCGAACCCGGAATTTCGGCGTGATGAGCGAACGCTTTAACCACTAGGCTACCCAACCGCCCCTTTATGAGTAAGTGAGTACAGAGTGTGCACACACAGGGCACATAGACAACACAAACAGAGCATACACTGGGCATAGAGAAAACACACACAGGGCACATAGACAACACAAACAGAGCATACACTGGGCATAGAGAAAACACACACACAGGGCACATAGACAACACAAACAGAGCATACACTGGGCACACACAGGACACACACAGGGCACATAGACAACACAAACAGAGCATACACTGGGCATAGAGAAAACACACACACAGGGCACATAGACAACACAAACAGAGCATACACTGGGCACACACAGGGCACATAGACAACACAAACAGAGCATACACTGGGCACAGAGAAAACACACACAGGGCACAAATAGAACATACACAGGACACATACAGGGCACAAATCGAACACACAGGGCACAAATAGAACACAGAGAGAGCACAAATAGAGCATACACAGGCAACATACAGGGTACACAAAGAACACACAGGGCACAAATAGAGCAAACACAGGACACTCACATGGCACACATAGAGCATACACAGGACACACAGGGCACACATAGAGCATACATAGGCCACACAGGGCACACATAGAGCATACATAGGACACACAGGGCACACATAGAGCATACACAGGACACACACAGGGCACACATCGAACATACACAGGACACACACAGGGCACACATAGAGCATACACAGGACACACACAGGGCCTTCATTGTACAAACACGGGACACACACATGGCACAAACAGAACATACACTAGGCAGAAACAGCATACACAGGACACCCAAAGGGCACAGATAGAGCATACATAGGGCACACACATGGCACAAAAGAGCATACACTCGACACACACAGGGCACACATAGAGCACAGACGGAACACACAAAGGGCCACATAGACTATACACAAGACAGACACATGGCACAAATAGAGCACACACAGGGCACACACGGGACACAAATAGAGGACACTCACTGGACATACACTTGGCACACACAGAGAATACACAGGTCACACACATGGCACAAATAGAGTACACACGGGATACACACGGGGCATATATAGAGCACACACAGGACACACACTGGGAACAAATAGAACACACACAGGGCACACCCAGGGCACAAATATAGAATACACAGGGCACACACAGGGCACAAATATAGAGCACACACAGGGCACAAAAAGAGCATACCCTCGACACACACACACCACACACAGGAAACACACAGGGCACACATAGCGCATACACAGGAAACACACAGGGCACACATAGAGCATACACAGGACACACAGGGCACACATAGAACATACACAGGAAACACACAGGGCACACAAAGAGCATAAACAGGAAACACACAGGGCACACAAAGAGCATACACAGGACACACAGGGCACACATAGAACATACATAGGACACACAGGGCACACAAAGAGCATACACAGGACACACAGGGCACACATAGAGCATACACAGGACACACACAGGGCACACATAGAGCATACACAGGACACACACAGGGCCTTCATTGTACAAACACGGGACACACACATGGCACAAACAGAACATACACTAGGCAGAAACAGCATACACAGGACACCCAAAGGGCACAGATAGAGCATACATAGGGCACACACATGGCACAAAAGAGCATACACTCGACACACACAGGGCACACATAGAGCACAGACGGAACACACAAAGGGCCACATAGACTATACACAAGACAGACACATGGCACAAATAGAGCACACACAGGGCACACACGGGACACAAATAGAGGACACTCACTGGACATACACTTGGCACACACAGAGAATACACAGGTCACACACATGGCACAAATAGAGTACACACGGGATACACACGGGGCATATATAGAGCACACACAGGACACACACTGGGAACAAATAGAACACACACAGGGCACACCCAGGGCACAAATATAGAATACACAGGGCACACACAGGGCACAAATATAGAGCACACACAGGGCACAAAAAGAGCATACCCTCGACACACACACACCACACACAGGAAACACACAGGGCACACATAGCGCATACACAGGAAACACACAGGGCACACATAGAGCATACACAGGACACACAGGGCACACATAGAACATACACAGGAAACACACAGGGCACACAAAGAGCATAAACAGGAAACACACAGGGCACACAAAGAGCATACACAGGACACACAGGGCACACATAGAACATACATAGGACACACAGGGCACACAAAGAGCATACACAGGACACACAGGGCACACATAGAGCATACACAGGAAACACACAGGGCACACAAAGAGCATACACAGGACACACACAGGGCACACATAGAACAAACCCTCGACACACACAGGACACACAACACATAGAGCATACACAGGACACACACAGCACACAAATAGAGTACACATGGGATACACACAGCGACAAATAGAGCACACACAGGACACACAAGGGACACATATAGAGTATACACGAGACACACAAGGGACACATATAGAGCATACACGAAACACACACAGAGCACACATCGAGCCTACACAGGACACACACACGGCACAAATAAAGGCCACACACTGGACATACACTCGGAACACACATTCACCATGATACACGCCCATCATTACACTGATAATGAAAAAACACAGCGCCATCAGGTGTGTTCGTTTACCGAAATATATGAAATCAATGTACAGCGGCTTTTGGCAAGCTTCAGGAAAAGACCTAAATCAACGTTACGTGCGTTCCATTACGTCCGCTGACAGTCATCGATTCCCGAGAAACTATTTTAAATTAGTAATTACATGCCGTTATGACGAGATCGTGCTTCGTCATGGGTCTGTTTCACGTGAAAGGGATCGATACACCAATAACCATGTAGACAGTCCTTGGATGTAGATATTCCCAACGAATCTGATTTCATAGTATGGGCTCACCTGATGAGTGAGTGAGTGAGTGAGTGGGTGAGTGAGTGAGTGAGTGAGTGAGTGAGTGAGTGAGTGAGTGAGTGAGTGAGTGAGTGAGTGAGTGAGTGAGTATAATATTTCATTTTGTGTTTAGTGTCCCAGTCGTCTGAAGCGCCGGAAGTTGTCAAACAGAGCTGTGTGCCATATGCGTGCCAGAAATGTAGGTTTGCATCCATGCCGTCATGAAAACGTTTCTGGGGTTGTCAGCGCCATACCCGTGCTTGTGGGTA